TCACAGAGAACGCACAATTATAGCACAGTCAAGTATTGGGTTGTAACATAAGTTCGTAGAGTTTTGCGTTAGAGTTATTTTGCAATGATTTGTTTTGTTTTACAGCAAAGTGTATACATTCATTCGAAAGAGCTCTTTCTCCTCTGCAAAACTGTTTTATCTGTTTTTTTGGGGAGTTTAATTGTTCGTCTTTTTTCTGGCTCAGAAATGGAATGTCTAGGAGGAAAAATCAGCATTTTCGACATCTGCTTTTCTTGCCGAAACAGCTCGGGAGATATATAGTGTGTACAGGGAAGGTGTCTTACATAGGCGTGTCTACTGCACAAAAATGGATCGCAAAGCTTGAAATAGGCGCCTTTGAACTTGAAGACACGCTTCGAAGCGGACGACCTGCAGAATACGACCAAGAGCGTCTGAAGGCACTATTGAAGGAAGATGGTCGCCAAACAATTCGTGTATTGGCTGGTTATTATAATAACTCATTTAATAATTTATTATTGCAATTATTGCTTTTTGTTCAGAGAAATCTTTGTGAAAAACTCTACGAACTTACGTTACAACCTAATAGTTAGGAGATCCAAGTAGTCTGGGGTTTTACAGCGTATCCGCTTTTCGAGGGTTAATACTTGTATCGGACAGAAACAGTTCGCTATGTCATGAGTTTACCGTGATCCCCTTTTATTTCAGAGCTGAATACTCAAAATACAATACTTTTCACTCCGATAATACTCTTGATAAAACGCTGCAGTCTGTAGTGCAACTTGGATAGTACACAAAGCAATGCCATCTTTGAAGAGCTCACATACAATCCTGTCGTTTTCATCGGATATCTTTCTTTTACATGTCTTATTTGCTAAATTCACAGAAACCCAGTTTAGCAAAAATATATGTATACGAAATATGTGCTCTTATGTACAACTCGACTTAGTTTCCTTCAGACCTAGAGAGTTCAGATTTAAGAATGGTTGGGAAGAAACTTTAGAGGCTTGAAGATCTTTAAAAACCTCTTGGAAACCATCATCAAGTAGTTCACTGCTCTAAGATAGATGTACAGATTAGCATTGAGCGGTAGCGACCATGAATGCTGTTGCTCGAAATGATGGACTTAGGCTGGAATTTCGGCCTTATCACCACAAAAAGAGAGCCTAATCACATTTTTTATCGCATTTCTTACGAGCAGCTAGAGCAATACACTCAAAACAAATAGAATAATGTTCTTGTTGAACGTCATCGCTATGAGCGGTACAAATCACTAGAATAACTTTTCGAAACAATAAAATATTTTCAATTTCAAGTATAATTGCATAATCTACACCCCTGCTCTACAACTACATCACCGCAAACGCCAATCCACGGACGTTTATCACGTTTCTTCTATTACACTGTACAAGCTGGAAAGAGACGAAGTTGATGTCATGTGCCCACTAGCGGTGAATGTGTTTCTATGAAGCTTCGTCAAGAGGCAGAAGCAGTCAACTGGAATTACGTTTTTCTTCTTTTCACAATGCATAGATGATCGCTTCGTTTGCGTTACGAAGTTGCTGAATAAGCCCGGTTACGTTGCGTTGTATGCCCGATTAATACGATATGCTGAATAAAATTTCGTTTTTCAGAGCAATTTTTAAATAAAAAAGTATGTTTTCAGAGAATTCATCTTCTGAAACAAACAGGCCACGTATAAATATCAAAGCACATCTTAAATAAACGTCTGCAGCAACCTTTCCCTTGCTCTTAAGAGCCCTAGACGTTGCAGGGAGCCCCTCTGTCTAGGGTCTGAGAGTGTTGACAGAATCTGCGAAATGGTTCATTGTGGAAGTTGAAACCATGAAGGGTCATGACATTCTTCTCGTTCTGTCGCAGTTTCGATGAAATAATAATGAATGAGACAAAAAGCAATACGCAATACACTACAGTGCCTCACAGTTTCCAGTGATAGTTGTCCACATAATAAAAAATTTTGGGCGAGTTCTGTTTCAAGGTACCTAGTAAGTATGGTGATAAGGCTTCAAATTTCAACTTTTGACGGGAATCGGGACCGCATTTTTGCGTTATTCCTTACAGTAGCGAGACCCTTTTAGACCTGGCCTTTCTAATTGCTATTCAGCCTTAGCTTTGTTACAGTGATCATGTAACTTGAGCGGTCAGTCAGTAGCGGGATTGAACCGCTGCACTATAAACTGTTCTTATATACATGTGCTTTTTTGACTCGATATTTTGCTGAACAATTTTGGCCAGTCGCAGTAGCGTTGCGAGCTCCACGCGCTCCTTCTTTGGAGGTAAAGGAAACCCTCCCTAAACCTGAAGAACATCATTGAGATATTGCTCCACGCTTTCTTAGATAAAATCTCTTTCCGCGAAAAACAAAGGAGAGTTGGTTGGGTCACGAGAATGACAGAGACAAGACTGAAGAATTCACTCAAATGTGGAGAGAGAACAAATTTGAGCGAAAAAAAAAATGAATGGACTTTGAAAACGAGAGGTGTTTCTCAAAAACCGTGAAAAGCCGTTTCTCACCTGTGTTGTATGCCGATTTATCGGAGATCAGTTGGATCGGCTTACCGCAGCAGACCGATCCAACTGATTCACGCCCTGTAAGGAAATATCAAACGAGATGTACTAGAAGAAGTTTTTTGGGATTTTTCATTTCTTTTCAGCAAAACCTTAGGTTTTGTTATATATTACGCCAAATGATGTGGTATTTGCTAATTAAACGTCGGTACTCACAAAGACCACATGATTTCAGCAAAGGAATTGATGCCGCAACCTTCCGGCTGCTAGGGGCTTCGCAGAGGAACTGCTTGTCTGAGGTTCACTTTGTTTACGTTAAGGGCAAAAGCTCCGGCCTGCCCAGATTCAATTGCTTTTTTGCCAGAGTTCCAAAGTTTGAATAACAGGAAACGGATCTTGTAAGGAACTCCTACTATTTTTCTCAGACAATTTTCCAAATGTGAATTGCTATTGTACAGTTCACTTCTTCACTATCAGATAGTAAGTTTGAGTAGAACAAGGTCGGAAGTAGCATGAACGAGTATAGTGGATAAAGTTAGAACTCCGACCGAAGTCAATGAGTAGTCACCGCTTACACTGAGCCAGCACATTTTTTGTGATCAGGACAAACTCTCTCTTAACCTGTTGTTCTGTTGAAAAGTTACCTGCTTAGAATATTCCCAATGAATGCTTACATTTCAGCCAGATTAGTCGGTCTATTATAATTAAATAAAATAGTTGTTCATCGGCGTTCAACGTTCTGAACCATTTATTGTAATTATTTTATTATTATTTATTACTTCACAAACAAATAGTTTCTATGTTGTTGGTTTATTTTATTATTTAATCACCGCCTGAAGGAATGTTATTCCCCAATCTTATGTTGTTATTACATCTCAGTAGGTGGCACATTTTATTTTGTCACCTATAACTTCACAACAAAAATCATAATTGCTACAAGATTGTTTGAATACACATTTGATCATATATGGTATCACAATCCTTCAGAGACTTGACAACTAATACTGCTAAGATAATGCGTATACTGATAGAGAGCTTCGAACCAACAAAAATTCGAATATTTAACTCAAAATTAACGAATTTATGGCAGATTTACATAGGTAGAAATCATGTTAGTCATGTCCACCAACACATCTAGCAGTTAGGTGAACAGTACTTCCTCCTTCTATTTTGAAGAAGGACAATGTTTTGCCATTATGAAGGGATCTTCCTAAATTAAGAACGTCTGGTGCACGAATTTAGAAGAAGCTCTTTCATGAATCCTTAAGCATAGTAAGAAGTACCGTTGTAAATTAGTATCTGTTCAGGTGGTCGGATTCCTTCTCTGTCAAAGATGCGTTCCTTGAGCGTCTCAACAGAATCGGATGGTTGAACGTTGAGGGGAATGGTCTTCCCAGTTAAAGTTTTGACGAAAATCTGCATGTCCCTGTAACGGATACGACTAGCATGCGGTCTTCTACAGTTCATGTAAATGCAGTATTTCAATGGTAGCAGGTAACAAGAGAAAGATAACTGAAAGCCAAAGCTCAGGAGACAGTATCAAGCTTGTCTCGATGCTATTATCTCCCTACAAAGCTAATCAAAGGATTTATTGACATTTGATTTCGTTTCGGATTTATCTCTGCCCAGGACGTGCAATACCGATCCCGCGTGCAGCTATCGACGTCCCAATGTCGTACAAACGTAAGGAACTGATTAGAGCAAGGTCCCCAGGCCACTGTGATGATGCTCAGAATGTTTTGAAAAGATATTCTCGCTACTTAACGCACAGTTCACGATGAAAATTATTTCTGAGAAATCTCCCCCTGATGAGCCTGTGGTGTCTCCCTATATAGTATTTGGCGCTGTCAGATCGGTGCGGCCTAGAAAGGGCGTTATAAGAAATTTCAGCACCCACAGCGGACGAGTTTCAACGACGTGATAGAGGTTGAATCATCACGAGAGACTCCTATGTTGAAGGTTCAAAGAACTAGACGTGACCTATGACGACAGTGAAAGAAAGGCAACTTTGGGCATTTTCGGCTTAATTTAGTCAGCGCTTTACGCAATCCCAAGGACTGAAACCTCGTCCCAGTACCCCTATATACCATTCCCGCTGAAAAGCCTTCTTTTTCGCTAAGTCGACGGATTTCCTCGCTTTCTTCGCATCACTCTCGATCAACACTTTCATTTTAAATCTTAAAAACGGCTAAACCTCGAAATTATCGTGTACTGTGCCTTTGATCGTTCCTGCTCTGACTCTGTCGGACCGTGTCTACGATGAAAATGCTAGGAGAGGCATCAAAGCGGTCATTCTTTTGAGAATAGCGCGATGTTGAAACTATATCAGGGAAGTATTTGACTACAGCTTCGAATAGGGACGTGATTCGTGAAAGAGAACAGCCGTATGAAGATGTTACTGCTTTATGGAACGAGTGTGGAGGACGGGTTAGGGAGAAGGAGCTCAATGTAACTCTGAAGCACCTTCGACTCACAACAGAATGGTTATCGACTCACCCATCACTTTGAATTTCCTCGTTGTCAGAAGTCTGTGCGACTAACGCAGGATTGTTGAGAAGGTCGAGAATAGTGTAGTTTGATTGAAAAGGTTTAATGTCAATGATTGTGAAAGGAAACATTCGCTGTTTAAGAGTGAACTCCCACTTACTGGGAACGCCTGTACTCCTTCTGATGGAATTGAATGTTCGGCACGACATATTGGGCATGTAAGTTTCCCTGATTGTGAAATAATGTGAAACCTCACGCACATTTCGAGACACTGCAGACAGTATGTATGCTGACAAGGAAGTACCTTTGGCTCGCTAAATCAAAGAATTCACATCAATCATGAAGTGGAAAAGACTACCATACCTGCAAAATTATTCCGTCAGGTGAAATCTAAATTTCAAATCCACTTCAAAAACAAGGAAGTTCTAAGCAATTTTGAAAATGTGTGCCAACCTGTAACGTACGGTGCAAATGCAGCATGTAAGTAAATTTTCGATCTCTTTATTCCGAGGCGATTCTACTTCTTCACAATACGAACACAACACTACCCTGACTCCACTTAGATAGCGAGATTCTACTTCGACTATATCTTCATTCTGGATTCCGTAATCGGACAAAGTATAGTTGTCTTCAAGCCTTCGTCCTGAACACCCTACTACAGTATAACCATGGCATAGTTTCAAATGATAAATAAAGAGAAACTGCTAAGGGGGTACTATGAGTCAGGAGTCCCAATGGGGACTTCCCCATCGCTACTTTCATACGATTCGTTTCCTAGATGACAGTTTTGAACGCAAACTAATATCCACTCAACAATACAACCAGTCCACCTCTCGATTAACCACATCAAGAGTAAGGAACGATATATTGGTGGTTCAGTCATCGTCTTACTTTAACGTCGAAGCAATTTACCTGCGAATATAAGCACATAATCGTCTGGAGGAGCCCATGTACCTTTGACGAGCTTGGAATGTACATTTAACAAAATCTTGACACCTCCAATGGTAAGCCATGGTTCCACTTCACAAGTGTTCGTCTCCCCAGAGCTACTTCTGATTGAGATATGCATTCCACTAGGACGGAACAACTAAAGAGTGAGCTAGTTCTAACTCTGAGCTCTACTGAAACGACACTTGACAATCGACAAAGCCAGAGAGTGCATATAGTGATTTCATGGATTATGAGACAAAGGATTCAGAAAAAAAGGGCAGGCGATCCAAAAAATGGATTACTTTCACAGATCACAAAACCTAAACAGGAGTGCAGGTCATCTCTGTGATGGACTATATAAATAGGCAGAAAGTTTCGTAATACAAATTTTCTTATTAGCTGTAGTGGCGCTTTCAGACGAGGTAGGACAGATTGCGTCAGGAGCGCGTGAGCGGTATTGATTGTTGTCCAAAGTTATGAAAAACGCTGTCAGTGTTCGGACGTGGGGCTGTCCGAGTTCGTCATCACCCATTCATGTTAATTCGCAATCCCAGAAGCCCTCTCATTCGCGATGGATTTGGGAGCTACCTGCTGGGCAGACCCATAATGAAACAAATCACGCCAATGTTTTGCCTAACTGGCGCTGTTATTCCGAAGTCCTACACGGGAGAAGACCATCGACTCCTCAGCGCTAGACTCTATTTCTCAGTGCATAGACAGAGAGCTGCAAAGTTCAGGAAACAAAGCCCTAAGACTGTTGTCAACAGGGATTACTTCACTTGCGAGTTTGTGGGAAGTTCCGTTAGCTACAACATCGATGAATAAGACAACTAGCTTGTCAAACATCATCAGATAATAGAGCAGCGAGTACAGAAAGTGCTAAAAAGTCTCCCCTCGAAAACTCTCGAGCTGATATGCCAGCGTAGAATCGCGAGAGCTGCAGGCAATAATCAGCTAACTTCCTACCTTGCAAAACTATGCAAAGAAGCGATAAAAGAAGATCTGAAAAATAGAGGAGCAGTCGTTCTGGTCGAAGCCGCCTAGGCTGGAAAAGCAAGAGCCAGCCGGGAATTCGGTAATTATAGAACCAAGGTGACTTCCTCCGTCGTCCTGACGAAATAGGTACTGCATTTCGAAGGGCATTGAGAAGGTCAAGGACTTCCACTCTGATCTCTTCCACAACCACGTATACATGCATGCCTACCATCCTATGCAAGGCAGGTACATATATCGCCCTCTCTCCAAAAGTTCGACATGCGATCACACCGATGAAGAATTATAGTTCGCTCGGTCTCGATAGGATCAAAGCAGAGCATCTAAAGTGCCTTCTCCACATCATTGTCAAAACCCTGGCTCAACTCTTCACGCGTTACCTACCGGAACGCAAATTGCCCACCCCGTGGAAAACTAGCAGGACTGTGTTGCTGTATAAGAAAAGAGATCCAGACGATATTGGCAATTATCGTCCGATCTGCCTGTTGTCTGTAATTTTCAAACTTTTCACGAGTCATCTTTGACAGGAGTAGCACAATGCTAGAAGAAGTCCAGCCACACGAGCAAGCAGGAATTCGGAGAATCATTACAATCGATCACATCCGCACCGTTGCAAGACTCAATGACAGCTTCGCGACCAAGATTTCGCCGATCCACAAGGAATTCATTATCAACGTGAAGAGAGTTGTCTGGCAGGGCGATACATCTGGCCCAAACTCTCCGGTATCGCGCTTGAGAACACCATGCATAGCATAGAGTGGATAGGCATGGGAGTGAAAAACGATTGCCGTTAGTTACATCGCTTTTGACACTCGGCAAATTTGGTCGCCTACTCGACGGGCCGTCGAGTAGGCGACCAAATTTGCCGGCCAGGTTTGACAGCGCTTATGGAGGGGTAGATTAAACCAAACGAAGACGATGTAAACAATGTAATGCGAAACGTATTGGTACCTGATGCTCCTTTCACTTTGACGAACGAACATCTCTGAGCGCTTTAGCTACTGTATCTAGACTGAGAGAATAATATGATGAAAGACCTAGCCGAGTAGTAGGAAACGTGCACGGTGAGGAGAGTTTAGGAGCATCGCGGGAGCAGCGGAACTAGTGGAAAGGGGTAGAAAATAAGGAATACTCCACCCTCACCTTTTGGACACAGCATTGGCATACGCCTCAGAGACTTGGACAGTAAGAAAGCAAACTGAACATGTAATCAGCTTTATTCAGCTATCTGTGGGAAAGGTTTCCTCACAAACCCAAGTGCAGATTGGAATTCGGAGTTTCGAGTTCCGAAAATGATCGAAGATTAGGGATGGTGGTTTTCTTCCAAAAAATCCAATGTCGGGTGCACCGGGCTCGTCTTGAGGTATTGTGTTGACTGCAGGAGCAAGGTGATTGCTGACTGGATCGCTCGTAGCAACAAATGAAGAAGTCAGGCCACTCTTCACTGGAGCCCTGAACGAAAGAAATGCTTTGCTCCGTGTCTCTCGGCTATCCACTGAACCCTTTTTGGCTCGTGACAGGGACGAATGGAGACGATACAGGCACCTGCTAGAGGAATGCAAATGATCAAAGGGACTACAGGTGATACAGGTGATACAGTATTGAAAGACTAAAATCTGAACTNTTCACTGGAGCCCTGAACGAAAGAAATGCTTTGCTCCGTGTCTCTCGGCTATCCACTGAACCCTTTTTGGCTCGTGACAGGGACGAATGGAGACGATACAGGCACCTGCTAGAGGAATGCAAATGATCAAAGTGACTACAGGTGTTACAGGTGATACAGTATTGAAAGACTAAAATCTGAACTTCGAAAGAGTATTTGAAGCAGCAGTCGAGCCAACTCATAGGGCTCTTTTAGGGAAGGAACCTTTTATGTTGTTGAGAAGAAGTGTAAAGAAGATTGCTAACCGTACCCGTAGTTGTCAAAGCTGTAGCCTCCAAAATCTGAGTGGTTGAACCCACCATTCTTAAACCATGTACTCGCGAGTAATATAAGCAATCAATAAGCTGTTGCTTCCGATGCTAGGCTAGACCCACCACCCCGAAAAACCTTACGTTGAAAAGATGAAATGATTGCGAATCCTTCAAAGAATCACCTCACCTAGTTCCGAACTCATTTGCGGGAATGAACGCCTGATGGTATATCGTCTCTGGAAATGCATGATAGCGAGAAGTATTTGAGCTGTTCATTATAACACTCATGATGAGCTGCACGAAACCTAATATTAACAAACAGCTACTCCAAGATGCCAGTGTTGTTCATTTGTACAATAGGCTTCTCGTAGACCTGTGAGGCAGTTCCACTCTAGATGCTCTTTGATGTGGTTGCTCCACTGCTCGCGTTAAAAGTGATACTTGCGTGCCACTACGTGGTGAGTTCAACTACGTGTTCCTCTGCTAGAACTCAAAAGTGCCTGCTTTGCAGCCTCCGAAGCCGGAACAGGTTCTGGTTGGGAAGACGGAGTATCCAGCACAATCCCGATCAAGACGAGATGCATCGCGGGACTGGATACGGATTAAAATAGAATACGACGCCTCAGTCAACCAGTAAGCTATTCAATTTTACGAACCCAACCTATCCTATCAGGACCTCGATGAGATGTTGGACGAATTCAGTTTGTGAAGAAAGGAGGCCGGTGATTCTGCTGCAAGACTAGGGCTGGTCAGTCCGACTCTTGACCATCCGACTAAGCAATCGAGTCCATTAATATGACTGAATAATACCTTCTCGGTGATCATAGAACGCTCTGAAATCGCTCCGTTGACATCGATTCAGTCACTGAATTGGACCATTGGACAATTATGCATTCGATCGGTGAAATTCTGTAATTCCCACGCGCTTTTTAGAGCACAAGCAGTCTCAAGCCTTCAGAACCAGAAACTTCTTCTCACCTCCGTTTGGTTTTAGGTTAGAGTTTCTACCTAGGCAGGGATCGGATTGGTGGCTCTTATAAGCACAGACATAGGCCAACTCTATTAGTGGTACAGCCTGCAGGACCAAACGTATAGCAAGGGAAGAAGCTTATGGGCATACGGAATCAGAGTCGGACATAGGTTTTTCTAAAACTTTTCACATGCTGACATATTTAGGAACAGTTTCGAAGATTCTCCTGTATTTCCTTCCAAAATTATAGGCTAAATGAAGAGAAGAGGAAAGTGCTAGAACGTCTTGTCACTGTTGCTCATGATTATTTTGAATCTACATTAAAAGTGAAACGTCTGCTCAGTTTACAGTTACCTCAGTGGGTTTTTCCAATTTTTGGTTGTGTTGAGTATCATGACAGAACCCTTTCCATGTTGCTAAGAGGATACAGTAAAAACAGTCGGCAAAAACTTTTTTTGACATTGATGGAACGACATTTTTTGAGATTTGTGATTGTGCAGTTCCTGATATCAAATCACACAAATCTGTGTGAATCAACCGAAGAGATGGGTAAGTATAGGGTCGTGGGGAACTTCTCGCCGATACGAATTTCTCTTCCTCGCCTTCATTTACAAGCGCTTTGTACAACCCTTTCCCTTCTATAGATAAGGGTTTGCCGAGATAGCCCTCCCGCTACCCTACCCTTCCTTGGTTTATGCGTTGCTAATTGCTTCAATCCCAGAACACTAATGAAATAAGCTTTCAGACTGTGTATAGAAAAAGATGGGAATTTCTCCATGAGCACGAAATGTTCAGGACACTGTGAAAAAAGATGTGGAGAAGCTGTTGCACCTCAGAGTGCTAATTATTTTAAGGTGTGCTTGTCGATGAAATTGAACCGCTTATCTCTCATTGTTTCTCATTGTCTAGGGTAAGGTGTGTTCAACAATCTTCAGGAAGCCTACTAGCGAGGGGTCACCCACCTTTTTAGACTCTTTTTCTCTTCCACCGTTCCCTCCGACTTCTATCTTCATCATAAAGCCTTCAACCTATTCTTATCAATCCCGTTTTTGGGATGAGTCCAAAATTCGAATTCCATTCGATAATGGCGTTTTCGAAACACGTCCGTGGACTATACTAGGGACTCGCAGTGGCTACCCCATGTGAATGTCCCTGGTTCTCTTCAACGAGACGGATTTAACATTGATCAACAGACCCCGTGAAGGTATAAAGCTCGGATAGCGTGGGCAACTGTCAATCGGGGATTTCATCCTCCACCAAGC